TCTACAGAGGGATCTAGACAGGCTGGATTGCTGGATCGAGTGTGCCCAGGTGGCCAAGAAGGCCAATGGCATCCTGGCCTGTGTCAGGAATGGTGTTGTCAGCAGGAGCAGGGAGGTGATCATGCCCCTGTGCTCGGCTCGAGTACTGTGTACAGTTTTGGGCCCCTCACTACAAGAGGGACATTGAGGTGCTGAAGAGGGTACAGAGTTGGGCTACCAAGCTGGTAAAGGGCTTAGAATAGAAGTCTTATGAGGAAAGGCTGAGGGATCTGGGGCTGTTTAGCCTGAAGAAGATGAGACTGAGGGGAGACCCTAGCACTCTCTAAAACTACCTGAAAGGACGTTGTAGTGAGGCAGGGGTTGGTCTGTTCTCCTTAGTGCCCAGTGATAGGACAAGGGGAAATGGCCTTAAGCTGTGTCAGGGGAGGTTCAGGTTGGATATTAGGAAGAATTTCTTTACTGAGAGGGCTGTCAGCCATTGGAACAGGCTGCCCAGGGAGGGGGTTGAGTCGCCATCCCTGGAGGGGATTAAGAGATGGGTAGATATTGTGCTGAGGGACACAGTTTGGTGGTGTTGATAGGGCAACTGAAGGTCTCTTCCAGCCAAAAATGCTCTGTGAAAAAATGTTCTATGGTTCCGATGGTTTTGTCCTTGGCAGAGCTTCTCATGAGTGCCACACTACATTCAAGCTTCTTACATATAAACTCATAATAGGAATGTCAGGGTAATGTAGGTTGTTTTCTTTGTAATGTTTCACTTGGCTGGGGCCACAGCAGTTTGGACTGAGACAGCAGAGAGAGCCTGTTTGAACAATACCTCCCCTGGTATGTTCCATAATCTGAATACATTTGGGGATAAAGAGAAGTCAGTGCAGTTGATACAGGTTAGCAGCAGTGCTGAAATAGGTGTCTGGCAGCAGGTTGATGTCACTCATGACAGTGTACAAGTGATGGCCCTACCCACATGTCAGAGGTGCAAGCTGCCAAGTTCCAGAATGAATGTTCTGCAATCAAAATACTCATCTGTGGTAGTGAAATATCTAGATAATGTAACATTTTCTATATCTGGGCTTATGCAAGTTTACCTTTCCTTTGGGACTCTTGGAGTTAGCAGGATACAGAAAGATTCCTCCATACACCAGTGTACGATGCACATCAGCCACCATAGATCCTATGTACCTCCCACCATATGGTGAACTGCCATCCTACAGAAAGATATTTAAATAAATGTAACTTCTGAGTACATCCAGGTAATTCCCCCCCTTAGTGGTCCTAACGTCTAACACCTCCATGTTATGGTTCATTGATAATATTCAAAATCGATTTGGGGAAAAAAAATCAGTTTCTTTCTCACTTTCTAATTAGCAAAATCCAAGAAAAAGGACTGACAGAAGATTTCAGGGTAGCTGAATGCTAATTTCAAGAACATAAAATACAGCCCAGATCTCCATCAGTGCTCTAACCTTTGCAGAATACTGCATTTCTAGTAGCAAAAAGGATACGTACTAGGAGTTGTTGTTGGGTTGGTTTTGGTTTTTTTTCATTTGTAGCAGAAAAACATATCAAAGAGCAAAAGAAGTGATTTTTCCTACTTATCTTACTTTTTTTGCCAGCTTCTACAACTTCTTCTGGTAAGAAAAAGTTAACTGTTGACTACTGATGTTATTTCTCTATTATACTCCAGAGAGTACATTTTAATATCTAAATAAACAACATCTTAAGCCTGGCAAGATGCCAGATGAAAACACTTGTCTTTGTGGAAAGCAGGATCAGGAAGTCAAGACGGGACACAAACACCCAACAATAGTAAACGTTTACACTTCATTGTCCAGGTAGTAACTCTAGTGATGACATATGTGTAAGGCATGAGAAACAGACACGACTTTTTAGACATCCCTTAGATCTTCAAGCCTCCTGAGACGAGGAAGTTGTGCACAACCACAAAATGGGCCCTGAAACCACACTAGCTTTTTCAGGTGAGAGGATGCCTCAGGACCTCCAGCTTGTGTTACTGCTGAGCAATGGCCCACTGCCACCCCCACTCCGCTCTCCCTCTGCTCAGATGCTGCAATCAGGAAGCAGCAATCTAGTGCACGTGCCAATCAGATTTCTTCGTTGCCAGATGACACTTCCTCTCTACTCAACTACCAAACACCCAGTTTTGCTGCCAGTACTGTTACTCAGGCCACTAGCAAGGAAGGAAGATATTTTTTTAAAAAATAAACAAACCAAAACACATATAAAGGAGGTGAAGTGCAGTACTGAAGGACAGTGAAATACCTGGTCACATCAACTGCTGCTCTAATTATTAGTTCTAAGAGACTATATGTTTTAAATGGACAGGAAAGGAAATCAAGCTCTGAAGAGTGCATGAGACAGTGATTGATCATTAAGTTGGAACTTATGAGTGTTGCTTATCATCAGAAATTTTCTCTGTAACAGGACCTTTTACCTCAGGGAATTTCTTCTTTTTGAGATACTCTGTGACTGCAGGATCAAAGTATTTAGCATAGCCTTCATTGAGACTGTAGATATTTCCCTTCTTTTTGATTTTCACATCCCTATCCACCAAAATGAATTCTCCAATTGCCTAACAATAAGAAAGAAAAGCAATTTATTAATGTTAATTGTTCATTTATTTACAAACCAAGGCAAGAACCACTCACATGCACAGCCTAGGAAGAATTTACTATTGCTGCCACTTCCTTTAAAAAAGTGGCATTTGCAGTCTAGATGCAAAGTGGTTTTTGTCCATGAAACATAGACAGTGTGAATCCTGGGGTAACGCAAGCTTCTTCATACTACCATTCTCAGCTCTCTTTCACTTTTCTATGCCAAAAAATGCCATAAATTTGTTTAGCTCTACGCTCTTTTGCTAGAGCAAAAGTACCGCTCTGAGGAGTTTGGAAACCAAGAGTGCCAGCTGAAGCAATGTGTAAACATTTTCAAATGGTTGTAGATATTAATAAATTCCAGGTCATCTTGACTTGGGCTAACTGGAAGCCTGGAGTCAAGAGAGCCAATCACTGTAATCAAGGTCTGGTCTGTTCAGTTTCACTAATGTAAACTTCCAAGTTAGTGCTAAAAATAAGCAGAGTAGCATGCACACATGCTCCGAGTTAAATCTGCCATTGAATATAGAGCAAAATGCATGCAGCTACTTAAGTTGTTACTTAACAGTGAGCACCAAGTTATATTCCCTGCTACATGACTGCTGCAGGTTCTGAAAATTTAATACTGACAGGTTAGCCTGAGTAACTGATTACCAAGAAAAATGGGTCACCAAAAGCAAACTACTTTCTGCTGTGATCAGTATGACTTGTATTTTAAAACTCCTAAGGTCAACACATGCTAGAGTGTTAAATGCACCCACACATATCACTTACTCTTTTACACATCATGATGGGATCTGAAAACATAGAAAGAAGTTAAGTATTTCTGCTTCTATGGTTTACTAAGGTCTTAGGATTAAGGAAAAGACAAATAAGACTTAAAGGGCGCTCTGCATTGCACAAAACAACTCATTTTAAGTATTATGTGATTTGGCACATGCTGTGTATTTGCTTGACTGACTTGGCCATCTTCCCGAGGTTGAATCACAGATAGCACCACTGTAGTGGGCAGGCAGAATGCAAAAAGCTCTTGCCATTATTGCTTATTGGTTATGAAACATACTTCATTTATCCACATTAGCTTTGAAAATTACTCCTTTGTTTGATTTTTTGAGAGGGCAAGTAGTTCCTACAGACGGTACCTTGTCATTCCTAATAAAGAAACAAAAAAAACAGAAGACATTCTCACCGGGTCCAGCATGAAGCAGTTGACACCTCCAGAAGAAGTGGCCAGTACCAACATTGTGGCACTCCCATAGAGAGCATAACCAGCTGCCACAAGATTACGCCCGGGTTGTAAAGCATCTTTACCAGAAGGTTGATCAGAGGACACCTAGAATAAGAAGGACCATAGTCAAGTTCATTTCTATAGCTGGTACGTAACTGGGCTCTCTGGGACAGGGACAGTCTCCTGCTCCATATCCATGCATGAGGTGGCACAAATGCTTCCGTGATCCACAGCTGAGATTCCTACTGGATGCACTAACACAAATTATACAGAGGAGGCAAACATAGTGATCTAGAAATGCTCTTGTATAAGCCTAGTTGGAATGCAGGAAGCAGGAAAGGATTAAGGACATAATATGGAGCTGTGTACCTCCTTGTAGGTGATGATGAACACAGCTCGGAGGAAAACTCTGAGGCACAGGTGACAAGCAAGCATTGAAACATAACTCATGGAGTTCACAGCTGATCAACTTTGTATTTTTTTGTTTTCTTTTGCTTCATACAAAAATGAAGTTGAAAATAGTTACTTTGGGATGTACGACAACATACAAAAGATGATAAAAATGGATAGTTGGGTGTGTATCCGACTTACTTTTTTCCCCCATCTTGCGACTTGTAAGTCTGGTATTTCAAGCTCCTTCAGACAATGTTTCTGCCTTTCAGAGTGAATTAGACACTTCAAATGCACATGCCATGTTTCAGCTCTGGTTTGTGTTTGAAGCTTGTCCTCAGGCTAACAGGACTATTAGTACAGAGAACAAGAAAACCTGAAAGCACATTCCCCAAGTAGATGACAACCACCTGGTATTTTGTCCCAATACAAATATTCCTGAAATCTAAGGCTTGGTTTGTTTGTAAAGGGTAGGTCCTTTAGCTGTCTACTTAAATATCAGCCAGGCTTCTATCAGCCTTGTCTTCTAAGAGACTAATGCAAGTCGCTCGCAAATGTTTTATACAAGTATCTGTGAAATAGCAGATTTAACTTAAAGCTGGTCCTGAAAGTCTCTTTCACAAACAAGTCTCGCTAGATCTTATTAAGCCTTCACATGCAATTGTATTTTATCAAAAGGTGCACAATAATAGTTTTTCTTGTCCTACATGAAAACATTTTACCTTTTTATAGATGGCAAAGATGGTCCCAATGGAAACAAGACAGTCAATGTTTGATGAGCCATCTAGAGGGTCTATGCAGACGATGTATTTACCCTAGAAAATGTGAAAGAGAGAACAACCAGATTAGTGACATCAGTTATCCACTTCTCCCAAATAAAAATACTTGAGTAGGAAAATTTTCTTAGAGACTTTGAAAGCAATAATCTAAAGGGCTATTGTAGATTAGGAGGGAACTCAATTCAAATGTTAGAAATTCCTTTGCCCAGATTTCAATCTTGATTACAACCATATGATTTGTGCCACAGCAGAAGTTGTGAAATTTTTAAAGTAAGTAATCTTTAAAAGAAAGTCTTTAAAGTAAATACTAGATGATGACATGGGAAATGTGAAGTTAACACAATCATTTATATTTATACTTTAAAATCATTATTTAATCATATAATAAGAAAAAGAGAATACTTTTTAATCATTAATTTAGTTTCATCTGTTTAATTAATGTTGATCCATATTGATAGATATCCTATAAAATCTACCATTTAGATTACACTTTCTTGTCTCTAAGAAATCAGTTTTCTGAATTATAAGAAAAAAGACAAATGAAGGTCAGCTAAAATTATAGACATTAAGAAGGCCTTTAACATCTGACATTCATAAGCTATACATTTCAGTTTCTCTGTGGTCTGAAGGGACGGATGGTCAGAAATTACCTTAGCCGTAATAACTTCCGTAAGCTTGTAGTTTTACCCTGTTGTCTGGGGTTTTGGGGTTTGTTTTTTTTTTTGGGTCCCTGCATATTGCTGTACTAAGGATTTCTCTACATACAGAAAATTCCCAGTACAGGAAAAACAGCTGAATCAAATGTACCTTTTAAGTAGCTTGTTTTCTCCTTATTATCCACAGATATTTTGTTAACTGTGTATAATAACAGTAAGCATTTATTTGCCTTTTTTTTTTTTTAATTTCACCATGCATGCTGAAAACTTAAATCCAGCAATGTTCTACTTGGCAGGCAGGAATTCTGATAAAAACAGCACACTAGCTCATATTGAGTTTAGAAAAATGTTAACACTAAGCCTTCCCCAGCAATCTTCGAGGATCTAAAATAACATTTGTCCAGCTCCAAAAGAACCTCTGTTCACCCATTGCCTATAATGTCTCAGTCCTGCTCTGGACTCTGGCAGGGGTGTTGGACTAGATGATCTTCAGAGGTCCTTTCCAGCCTCTAACATTCTGTGATTGTCTAATACAAAATCAGTTCTGAAGATTTCTCAG